GAGCTCAAGCAGAAGGTTGAGAGTGTGCCCGCAACAATGGGATCAAGGGTAGGCTTGTTCTGTTGCGCACAGGGGTGCTATGTGATGAAGAGTCTGGGTGGCCCCTAACAACAACAGCATTGTGAGCCAGCAGCCTGCTGTCTTGCCCATTTTGGGGTGTTCAGCCATTGCAACAGCTATCTGCCATTGGTCTGGATTTATCAACTTCTGCTTATTAGACAGCAGTAGGCGCCTGACCTGATTATCTGGGTTCATCTTCTTTGGCTAACATAGCAGTGAAGAGAATCCTCCAGATGGATATCTACCTACCCTATGGATTTGGGATTGCCAGTTTCTGGACACTCGAGACTTGTTGACTTGACATTTCTTTAGTTTTGGCCTGATGTTGATGGTGATTCTCTCTCCTACCTCTGTACTTAAAAGCTGTTGAAATGCACCAGCCATTTAAAATTATAATTAATACTAATTGGGCTTCAGATACATTTATGAGAATGTTGCTCTTTAAGAGTTTATATAACATTTAAAAAACCAGTTTATATAACATAACCTTTAGAAAGAAACTGACTTAGACAAAAGGTTACTGTTACTCTCATAATCAGTGTTACTCTTGATCTGACACATAGCTGATGTGAAGACTAAGTCAAAGTGTCTTTCTCTCCAATCGCAAGTTTTCCAAATGTGCATTTTTCGGATGAACTAAACTGGTGTTATATGGGCTTCTACAAATCCATTAGGGACCCACAAAAAGAAAAAAAGCAAAACTCACCTGAGCGTTGACCATTTTCTTTGGTCCTTAGGACACTGCCTGACGCAGAGATGCTCTGTCTTTGTGTTTTCTGCATCAGCTCCAATTTTGTTCAGAGACTTGTCTCTCATGAAGCAATATCCCCCAAACCAGCCACCTATTCTTGCTTCCTCTCAGTTGATTCTCCTGCAACTGGAAATTCAAAACCTGTAGGCTGATTGGAGAATACACTGTGAATGACACATCACCTGTTGGTCCAGATGGTGTTACTATTCCTGTCCGTCTTGGTAACACAAACTCCCCAATACTGTTGATTACTCTTTCTTTAGTCACTCAAACTATAGGCCATGGGCAATAAAACCTGTGTTAGTCCAGGTAGACCAGAGAAACAAATTCATATGGGTATAAGAAAGAACTATATATACAAGAGCAGTTGATTATTGAGGAAACATCCCAGCCCA